TTACTTTGAATGCGTTTGTTTGACGCGATTGAAAGTGCGAATGAGAAAAGAATGGGCGTGGCCCAGCCTTCCTCACCTACTAGCACCCAAAATGCAAAAAAACCTTATTTTTAAATAACAAGTAGGAAAGAGCTGTATACCCCGAATACCCACTGTGATCTCTTGTTTACCTTTTTCAGCTATTCGATTACATAGCAAAAGCGCTAGCGGATTTCCTAATCGAGAAAGATTTGGCCCTGGATAATCTACCAGTTGGCTTCACCTTTTCCTATCCATGTGACCAGACTGGTCTCCGTAGCGCTACGTTACTACGGTGAGTGATTCTTAGCTCATTATTTGTCTCACAGAGAATTCTATGGAGTAATTATTGTAAAATTTGGTATAATAAAAGTCTGTTCAGGTGGACAAAGGGTGTCACAGCAACTGGAGTAGTCGGCAAAGACGTGGTGAAACTTCTAGAAGATGCCATCGAAAGAGACGGGGTGAGTCGATTCTAATGATTACTGTTTCATAGGTCTCTACAAAGGTTTTGAGCATCCAACATCTTCAACCCAAGGTTTATTGCACGGAAGTGGTTCTGCGCTGCAAAGAAAACTTCTCTATTTGTGAGATTTTTCTCGTTCCACGTGCGCTATCCCTTACTTTTGGACTGCAGCACTGCGAAACTACTGTAGGGTCACTACTTTTTTCGATAAAAAGTAGTGGTAGTTGATTGAAAAGGACGTCCCCACTTCGCTGGACTCCAGCTTTCGAGTAGAAACTGAGAACAGTTTGGAAAAAGGGGTAGGAAGTTGGGTGCTTCTGGTGAGGTGGTAAGGCGTAGGTAGGTTGTGAAGCAATGAGACAGCTACGTGTCAGCGATCCCTATGCTCTTCATACCTTCCCCCACACGACGGTGAAATTCGGGTAAAGTTAGTTATGAGGGGGGGGGGAGATCATGCGGAAGGAAAAGACAGTAGGCGGAAGCAGTATCTACAGAAAATCCCACGAAAGTCGATGCTGTGTCCTGAACCCAGATTGCTGATATTTTGTGGAAGGGCTCTGGTGGCCTTCATGATAGCATTTTTGAGACCACAAGGGTTATTGCAGGTGCTGGGAAGCGTGCTAGAAGTGGCACTAGGAGCCCTGTTTCAGCACAAAAAGATTTCTCCCGATTCCAGCCATAGGGAGTCGCACGCATAGTCGACATCCTTTGGAGTGTCGGGCTGGTGTTCGGGGGCGGAGCTGCTATTTTTTGGGCTTGGAGTCTTCAGGGGCTCCCTCATACAAGTTTTTTTTGTGAAAATCTGTCCTCAATCTGTTCTTCCAGCGTATGAGTGTTTCCACATCGTGTCATGCTCGAACTCAAACTTTATGTCAGAGTTGTGCGGGTTCTACCCATTTGCGACTGGGACCCCCTTCGGGTGGAGCATTCTTATACAGCATCGTTATCGGTGGGACGGCGGTGTCTGTACGATCGCCCCCTCCCTCCCCCCCCCCCTTCCCTCA